TTGTTATGTGCCGTCAAGTCGGACCCGACTCATAGCGACCCCTCCTTGGGTTTCCAAGGCAGTATCCCTACGGAAGTAGATTGCCCCATCTTCCTTCTGAGGAGTGGCTGGTGGGTTTGAACCACCAGCCTCCAGGTTAGCAGTCAAGTGCTTTAGGCACTATGCTACCAGAGCTCCTATGAATAAGTCTTCCTTATTCATTGTCCAGCTTTCACATACGTATGAAGTGATTGAAAATACCGTGGCTTGAGTTAGTCACACCTTAGTCTTCTAAGTAAAATCTTTGGTCTTTAGAGACTTTAAAGAGGTCTTTTACTGCAGGTTTGCCCAATGCAATAGTCATTTGATTTCTTACTGCTTCTTCCATGTGCATTCATTGTGGATAAAATGAAATATTTGACAACTTCTACCTTTTCTCCATTCATTATGATGTTGCTTATTAGTCCAGCTGTGAGGATTTTTTTGGGGGGGTTACTTTATGTTGAGGTGTAAGCCATATTGAAATTGTGGTCTTTGATCTTCATCAGTAAGTGCCTCACGTCTTCTTCACTTTCAGCCAGCAAGGTTATGTGCATAGTTGTTTCTCCTTGAGGGTTTAGAACCACCATTGGAAAAGTCCCTGTATTGTTTCAGGAGCCTCTTTATTCTGAATCAGAATGAAGGCTGGTTGGAGTGGAAACCTTCTGTTTATTTTTCAATTTAAAATATTCATTTTCCAATTGCCAGATTTTTTACAATAGTAGCAGAGACTGGTTTTAGTCCATTGAAGGGTTTAAAATTTCTTTTCTCCATATGTCTTTAGAGCTACTGTAATTGAAGAGCCATTACTTTCTTAGCCTTGGCAGTCTGCTTTGTTTCTAAAGTTTGGGCAAGCTCATGAGCCAAACTATTCAATTCAGCAGTGGAAGCAGCCTTCCAATCTAAACCATGTCTTTTAACTAAGGCTGGAATTTCAGGCTTGAGGCCAGATATAAATACTGCATTAGGGGCCCTCCTAGTTCCTTCATCTAAAGGGTCTAACCCAGAATGTTCTGAAAACTTTTAGAATAATCGGGCTTGATAATTATATACACTCTTTCCTTATTTTGTATGCAAGAATTTACTTTTATCCAATCAATTTTTAGGGGAAATGCTTTTGGGATTGCTTTACATAATTTTGGCCCCTATCTTGAGCTTCTGAGAGGAAGGTTTCAGCTGTTGTGCTTTTATCCAAGGCTAAACTATCTTGAGGATATTTCCATTCAGCATATTCTAACCATAATTTTGGCTTCCACAGGACCAACTGACATATGGACTAATTGATATAAATCAGGCAACTCAGGATACCTAAGATTCAATAAGGACTTTAAATTCTTTAGCAAATTTGTAAAGATCCTCACATAATTTTTCCTAGCGACCCCTCCTTGGGTTTCCTAGGAGATATCACTAAGGAAGTAGATCACCCAATCTTCCTTCTGAGGAGTGGCTGGTGGGTTTGAACTGCCAGCCTTCTGGTTAGCAGTCAAATGCCTTAGGCACTATGTCACCAGAGCTCCCAATTGTACTCATGAGGAAACTGTAAATAGACCAAGAGACAGTTGTTCAAAAGTAACAAGGGGATACTGTTTAACTCTTTAACAATGCTGTGTAAGTCCGTGCAAGTCCAGGAAGTAACAGAAATAATTTCTTTAGATTTTCTCTGGTAAGTACTCCATATTCCAGGGGGTGAATCTTAAAAAGGCATTTCAGAAATGGGCTTTGGACACCATTACTTTGGACCTTTAGCAGATTCTTCAAGGGAGAAAGGAAGTTCAGACAGAGTATTTCCAGAGGGTAAGAAGGCAGAAGAGGGTACACAGAAGCAGCTACTGGCAGAGCAGAGGCAACTGCAGTGGGGATGAGGGTAAGCACAGCAGACCTTGACTTTGTAACTGCTTATTGTGCTCTGTTGCTTCAAAAACTATATTCTGCAATTCTTGATTCTGTTTAGTCAGTCTGGAAATAATACCTTGTATAGAGGTCATTTTGCTACTTTGATAACTTTGAGCCACCTTGAGTACCAATTTTAAAGGGTGTCCCATTGCAATTTCTTAATGCAGGAGCCTTTATTTTCCAATTTACTACACAGAAAATTTAACTTAGGAAGATGAAAGATTCCACAAAGTAGCCACTGATCTGTACTGCCTTTGGTTAAGTCATGCCAAGCAGATGGAAACAAACATGTCAAAGAACTGAAATGCTTGTTCATGTAATGAATGGCAGTTCCTGAAGGAGGTTCAGTATTGCCCTTAGATTTGGCATTTCCCATATTCCCAAAGGCAGCACAAAGTTAGCTTCAGAAGCTTTAAACAAAATGTCAAAGCTTTCAGTATTTCAGAACCAGATAATATCCTTAATGAAGGAATGCTGCAGAATTTTTATGGCAGTGTTGTGACCCAGGCTGCGCCCGCTGTTTCTAAGCAGCTTTAAGGTTCTGAGATTTTTAAGAAATGACTGTACGAAACCTAAGACCAAAGGAATTTATGTTCCATTTTATAAAAACAGAAAGGAAAGAGAAAGGCAAATTGAAGTTTCAGAAGTAAATTCACCTTGGAGACCCTTTATGTTACCAAGAGATGTTGTAGTAAAGAACCAGTCTTACACACTGTTAGAAGTGAAAGCAAAGAATTTTACTGAAAGGTAGAGAGATTCACAAATTTGGAGACATATTAGCACCCAGGCAGGGTACTGTAGTGTTCCAACTCAAGATGAGAGTGAGGTTTTTATTGAGTGGAGTAAACAAAGGGCTACTTGCCCGCAGACCTGAGGGATACATGACAAAAAGTTACAAGGGGTTTGTTAAACTACAATTCTTCTTAATATTATCATTTCTGTTTTTCAACCTACTGGCACATGTTGACAAAGGTATTCTTCTTGGATCAAGACATGCAAACACTCTGGACAAATATCTTTTAACAAACAATTCCTCCACAAGCTAAAATCTTGACCCTTGTTCCTTTTGGGTTACAAGCAGTTACGCTTTTACAAGAAGCTGAATTGTCTCTTCAAAGCAGCAGCAGCAGAGATTTTAGGCCAAACTTCAGTTTGATTAAAAATAGAGTTTAATTTAGATCTAGGGGCAGTCATTTTAGTCATCCCAAGTGCTTCAGTTTTGGGGTTCACTTACACAGCACTCTATCTTCCATGCCTAGCACAGTGAACGTTGGGTGGTTTAATGCATGAATGAATTGGGGCTGGATCAAGACTGGCTTTGCACACCTTATCTCAGGCAGAGAATGCACACAGGGAAGTACTGTGGAAGAGGTCAGTCAGTTGGTATGCCATCTGGAAGGCTGGGGAAAAAGCTGTTGTCTGAACCGAGCTGAGTAGGGTGGAAGCAGAAAATAAGCTGATGACAGGAGCCAGGGAAAGGAGGATGTGAAGGAGAGAGATTGAGAGAAACCACAGTAGACTCTGGTGAAAATAGAAGAACCAGTGAAAGGTCAAGCAGTCTGGGTTCTGTCCTCTCTTGAAAAGTTTCCCTTTCTGGATGACCTCAGAGAAGTCTCAGAACTACCAAGGATATACTCTTCCCATCCCTGGTGCAAGCTAAGACTCTGAGAGATAATGGTACTCCCAGTAGCATTCATGAGAGCAGTTGGTTCCAGGAACCAAATAATCACAACTGACCTTATATACCACAATGCTTTACTGTTTGTTTTTTTAAAAAAACAACCAACCAACCATTTGCCTGTTGCCATTGAGTATATTCTGACCTGTAGCATCCCTATAGGACAGAGTAGAACTGCCCCATTCTGTTTCCAAGGCTGTAATCTTTATGGGAGGCAGACTGCCACATGTTTCTCCCATGGAGCAACTGGTGGGTTAGAACTGCCAACCTTTCAGTTAGCAGCCAAGCCCTTAATCACTGCACCACCAAGCCTCCTTTTCTTTACTTTTTACACAGTGCTTTTTCATTCATTCATTGCTCTTCACCATTCATATTTACTGAGAGTCAGGCTCTGTGCCAGGCCCTGTGGCATACAGGGAGAAAAGACAGACAAGGCCCTGCCCACATGGAGCTTACTGTCCAGGGAGCCCTACCAGTCTAGTAATTGTGCTTCAGCAGACAGGAACTGAAACCCCAGCATGGGTCTGGCCCCATCTGTGCCAGAGATACACAGATGAGGAGGAGTCAAGCTTCCCACAATCTAATGCAGAGGAGAGAGAGACAGAGAGAGAGAGAGAGAGAGAGAGACTGACTTGCCTCCATTAAGCCTTAAGGGTTTGATAGTGAACAAAGAGCTGAAGAAACACAAAGGAAATGAGGCATTTTGCTTGGGGATTTCACTCTAAACTGCCAAGGGGTTGAAGGAGGATTTTTTCTCTAGGTTGTGAAGAGAAATAAGGGCACCCCAGGAAGAGGGATTAGCAGGATCAAAAGCTCAGAAGTGGGAAAGGGCAGGGCATGCTCAAGGCAAAGGACAGAGTTTGGTGTGATGGAGTGTAAGAATTAATGATTAAGATGAAGAAAGTAGGGAAAGGAGAACAGAAAGATAGGTTACAACCCCATTGTGAAGGACAGACTAAGGAGTTTTAGTTTTTCCACATAAGTAATGGGAGACTTTCTTGTAAGAGAGAAAGGTTTTTACAATGGAAGTAACAGGATCAGGTCATGCTTTGAGATGGTAACTGGGAGAAGGGTAAAGAAATTTCCATGTAGGCCTACTCCTGGCAGCAAAATAGTGATGATGATGATGATGACGGTAATTAACTTTCCTGGGATTAATTATGTGTAAGACACTGTGCTGAGTGCTTTCTAGGCATCACCTCATTTTATCCTCACCGTAACCATATGAGGTAGGTATTATTATTATACCTAATTTACGGTTGATGAGGAAACTGAGACACAGAGCAATTCAAACACTTGCCCAAGGACACAGCCAGTAGGAGGCTGAACCTCTAGCCAAGGTTGTTCTGACTCCAAAGTCCTTGCTCCTATCCACCAGGCTACTTTGCCTTCTCACTGCAATTTCTTGTAGGTAAATTCACCTGCATTGAGGCTCGGTTCCACCTGGAGAGGCAGATGGGCTACTATCTGATCCAGATGTACATTCCCAGCCTACTCATTGTCATCCTCTCATGGATTTCCTTCTGGATCAACATGGATGCGGCTCCAGCCCGTGTGGGCCTGGGCATCACAACTGTGCTCACTATGACCACCCAGAGCTCAGGCTCCAGAGCATCCCTGCCTAAGGTAAGTTCTACTGCCCAGGAGCACAGACACCTGGACAGATAAGGAAGGGACCCATCTTCCCACTCTGCCTGAGATAAATGTAGCACAAGAAATTATTCAGTATATTTTTATCTATTACACTTTGCAGGATCCAGCATTCTGATCCATCAAACTTCCCACCAGACTCAACATTATGATCTATACAGACTGTCAGGCACATATTCTGCTTCATTTACTATTAATACTCAACTCCATATTTTCCTCCCTTTCAATAAACCAAAAAAAAAAAAAAAATTCACTGCCATGATGTCATTCCCAACTCACAGCAACCCTTACTTGTGTTTCCAAGGTGGTATCACTGCAGAAGTAGACTGCCCAACCTTCCTTCTGAGGAGTGCCTCATGGCTTTGAACCACCAGTTCTGGTTAGCAGTCAAATGCCTTAGGTGCTATGCTACCAGAGCTCCCTCCCTTTTAATGTTAGGTGCAATATTTCTGCTCCTTTCACCATTAATGGTAAGTACTTCATGTTGAGGTCTCCAAGACCACCCCCACATTCAGAGATTTGTTAGAAAGACTCACAAACCTCAGAATGTAGTTGTTCCTATAAGATTTATTGCAACATCATAGTATGTATGCATAGCAAATCATAAGGAAAAGGACACAGATACAGCCTGGAGAAATCTATCTGCAGTCTTCCTTATTCTCTCCCTCCCATCAGGAATGACACAGAGAACACTTTTTCCTCCAGCAATGAAATTGCAATAACATGTGTGTGATATTTCTGCCCAGAGAAAGCCATTTGAGGCTCAGCAGCCAAAGTTTCAATTTTTTGCCCATAGAATCCTTCAATATTGCAACTCAAGACTTGAATTTTTTCCTCAGTTCTTTCAGCTTGAGAAATGCCAAGCATGTTTTTCTCTTTTGGTTTTCTAACTCCAGGTCTTTGCACATTTCATTATAACAGTTTACTTTTTCTTCTTGAGCTGCCCTTTGAAATTTTCTGTTCATCATTTCTTCCATTCACTTTAGCTATTCCAATTATAAGAGCAAATTTCAGAGTCTCTTCTGACATTCATCTTGGTCTTTTCTTTCTTTCCTGTCTTTAGCTTTCCTTTTTCTTTCCTTTTGCTTTCTTCAAGTATGATGTCCTTGATGTCATACCATAACTCATCCAGTCTTTGATCATTAGTATTCAATGACTCAGATCTGTTTTTCAGATAGTCTCTAAATTCAGGTGGGATATGTCTTACTTTGGCTCATGTGGACTTTGTCTCAGCTTCAACTTGACCTTGCATATGAGCAATTGATCATCTGTTCCACATTCAGCTCCTGGCCTTGTTCTGAATAATGATAATGAGCTTCTCCATCGTCTCTTTCTGCAGATGTAGTCGACTTGATTCTTTGTATTCCATTCACCAAGGTTCATGTGTATAGTCACCATGTTGCTAAAAAAGTATTTCTAATGAATAAGTTGTTGGTCTTGCAAAATTCTATCATGTGATCTCCAGTATATTTCTACTACCTATGCAATATTTTCTAACTACTGATACTTCTTTGTTTCCAACTTTGCATTCCAATCACTAGTGATTATCAATGTATCTTGATTGCATATTTGATCAACTTCAGACTGCAGAAGTTGGTAAAATTTTTCAGTTTCTTCATCTTTGGCATTAGTGATTGGTGTGTAAATTTGGATAATAGTCACATAAATTGGTCTTTTTATAGGCATATGGATATTATCCTATCACTGATCGTGTTGTATTTCAGGACAGATGTTGAAGTGTTCTTTTTGACAATGAGTGTGACGCTGTTCTCCTCAATTTATCATCCCCAGCTTAGTAGACCACATGATTGTCCGATTCAGAATGGCCAAACCAGTCCATTTTAACAGTCTAATTGGGCAATCCTACTTCTGTCGTGATACTGCCTCGGAAACCCAAGGAGGGGTCGCTATGAGTCAGGGCTGACTGGATGGCAGATAACAACAACAACAAAATGCCTAGGATATTGATCTAAAAGTGTTCCATTTCACTTTTGACCATTTCCAATTTTCCTGGATTCATACTTAATGCATTTCACATTCTGATTATTAATGGATGTTTGCAGTTGTTTCTTCTCACTTTGAATCATGCCGTATCAGCAAATGAAGGTCCTGAAAGCTTTAATCCATCCACATCATTATTTTGAATGCCTTCTAACCTAAAGGGCTCATCTTCTGGCATTAAGCAACATCATGATAAACAAAGAAATATTGATGTTGTCAAGGGTTTCATTTTGCATGGATCTACAATCAACACCCATGGAAGCAGCAGTCAAGAAATCAAATGACGTATTGCATTGTGCAAATCTGCTGCCAAAGACCTCTTAAATGTGTTAAAAAGCAAACATACCACTTTGAGAATTAAGGCTCCTGACCCAAGCCATGGTATTTTCAATCACCTCATATGAACATGAAAGCCAGACAATAAGTATGGAAGACTGAAGATGAATTCATGTATTTGAATTATGGTGTTTACAAAGAATATTAAATACACCATGGACTTCCAGAAGAATGAACAAATTTGTCTTGGAAGTACAGCCAGAATGCTCCTTAGAGGCAAGGATGCCAAGACTTTGTCTCATGTACTTTGGATATGTTATGAGGAATGGACCAGTCTCTGGAGAAGGTCATTGTGCTTGAAAAAGTAGTTAGTCAGCAAAAAAGAGGAAGACCGTCAACGAGATGTTGACACTGTTAACACAGTGGCTGCCACAATGGGCTCAAGTAATGATTGTGAGGATGGCAGAGGACTAGGCAGTGTTTCATTCTGTTCTACATAGGGTTTCTATAAATTGGAACCAACTCAATGGCACCTAACAACACCATCATCACCCAAGGTTTTGAGGACTAGTCATGTAGGCCCCATTTACCTAGCACATATGAAAATGTCAGGCTTCTAGAAGGAAAGCAGATGTTCCACATAAGCCATATTTTTTGCAAAGTTTATGCAGAGTTAGAGAAGGATGGGTGCCCCAAAAAACAGCCAAGGACCACTCCCAAAAGCAAAGCTTTCAAAGGGTAGCAGCCTCATGCATGCTATGGTAACCCATTTGTACACATACTTCAACTTGCTTCTTTCTTCTTTACCAAAACATTCTGCCACATTTAGAACTAGCTCTTGAACCACATTCTGCTACATTCACTATTAACAGTAGACACAGCATTTTGATTGATTCACTATTAATGCCAGCATATACATTCTGCTCATTCACCCTCATGCAAGACACAACATTCTGTTCCATTCACTTCTAACTCCAGACACAGCAGTGCACTTCATTCATTACTAACTCTAGACACTGATTCTCTTGCAGTCACCCTTACAAATAAATGCAACATTCTGTTCCTTTCACTATTAACACTAGACCTCTCATTCTGCTTAATTCACTTTTAAGACTAGACATAATGTTCTGCTTCATTTACTAGTAATGCTAGACACCATATACTACTCTATTCACCCATTTTGACAACATTCTGCTCCCCTTACTATTAATGCTTGATGTGTCATTCAGTGTTACTCCCTTTTCATGCTAGGCACTGCATTCTATTACATTCACTGTTATCTTACAAGCCACCTTCTGTTCCACTTGCTCAACACTAGACACAACATTCTGCTCCATCTACAATGAATGCCAGACACCAGATTCTTCTCCCTTCAGTCTTACACTAAACACAACATTCTGCACCATTCCTAATCAATGCTTTGCTTAACATTCTGTTCCATTCACCTTTATTTTTATACATTAAATTTAAAAGAATATACAATGAATATCCTAAGACTCTTTACTTAAATTCACCAATTGTTATCATTTTTCTATTTGCTTTAGTGATAGATAGATACCAAACTCACTGCCCTTGAATCAATTCCAATTCATAACAATCCTACAGGACAGAGCAGAACTGCCCCATAGGATTTCCAAGGCTGTAAATCTTTACAGAAGCAGAATCCTTCACCTGTCTCCTGCAGAGCAGCTGGTAGGTTAGCAGCCCAATGCCATAGACAAGATATAGATAAATGCAATTTTTGCTGAATCATTTGAAGCCTATATACATCATGACAATTCACCTCTAAATAAGGAATAGTACAATGGCATTATCATATTTTTAAAAATTAGTATTGTTTCAATAATATCATCTAATATAGAGCCCTTATTTAAATATTTCCAGTTGTCCATAAAATGTCTTTTATATTTATGGTGAGAGATCCAATAAAAAATCAAATCAAGATTCATATTGCCTGTGGTTGCTTATTTTGCCTCTTAATCTAGAGCAGTCTCCCACTGATTTTTTTTTTCCATGACATTGTTGCACTAACTTTTAATGTGAGGGAAAACATTCTACTTCATTTACCATCCACACTAGACACCACACTATCTATTCTCCTTTAGGATAGAATTCAACAATCTGCTCTTTGCAGTATTAACACTAGACCTCATATTCTGCTACATTCCCTATAAACACTAGAAACCAAATTCTCTATTCACTATTGACACCTAACAACACATTCTGCTCCATAAAGTTCTAATGCATATATAATATTCTACTTCCTTCTTCTTATGCTAGACTCAACATTCTTCTTCCCTCATTGTTAACACCAGTCTCAATATTCTGCTTCATTTACTATTAATATTCAATTCCTCATTCTTTTCCATTTATTTTTTAAGTGTATAATTCAGTGGGTTTTAGTACATTTGCAAAGTTATACAATCTTCACCACCATCTAATTCCAGAAAATTCTCATTACTCAATAGATAAACCCTGTATCATCAGCAGTCATCCTCCATTCTCTTCTCCCCTCAGTTCCTGGCAACAACTAATCTACTGTCTATCTTTGGATTTCTGAATATCTCATATATATAAATGGAATAATACAATATGTACGTTTCAGGTCTGGATTCTTTTAACTTAACATAATACTTTCAAAGTTTATCCATATAGTACATATCAGTACTTCATTGCTTTTTTTATGGTTGAATAATATT